GCAGGTACGGCAGATAGTGTAGAACTTTTGGGCGGACTACTTAAATAGGCACTCAAAAGGTGCACATGTGGCTTGATATACCATTGTTGAAATTACATATAAAACTTCATCTATACTCTAATAAAAAGTTCCCTAGACCAAAGAGGTCACCTTAATACCAAAAAAAAAAAATAACACATACCTATAACAAAGAGATATATATAAACCTCGCAGTTCAAATCATAAAGTTTTTTCTTCATCTAATACTTGAGCTAAATTTTTTGAACAAAATATTCTATATGCAGCATTATCATTTTGATGATCTAATCTTATTATATCTCATTTATACATAATACTATTTTCTTGATGAGATAATTTTAACAGCTGATTAAAGCGAACTATAGAATTGCCAAAGGTAAGTAATCGAGCACCTGATATAGCAGCATTTCTTGCAGTTTTTTTTCCATGCTTTGGATCTTGAATATGAATTACAGGTCCAATTTCAGGAAATACAGAATAATTAAAATTAATTCCAAATTGAATATTTCGATACTGAACTCGATTTCGATACTGAACTCGATTTCTAGTTTTAGTTGCTTGTAATAAATTTTGAGCTTGAAATTCAACAGCAGCACCATCTGATCCAATAGATATTATATGTATCTCAAGATCTGCTGCAATGTCTATAAGTTTTTGGTGAAGAGTAAAAATATTTTCAGAATCATCATTTCTAGCTAGAATTAATGCCACAATTATAGGTGGAAATTTTGAAAGAGGCACCTAAAAATTTAAATAAAATTAACATAATAATATATTCAAATAAAATAATACTAAAAAATTCAAATATAATCATTACCTAAAGAATATAAACTCTAACATATTTTGCAATAGTATTCGCTTGCTTGATATTAGAAACTTTATTATATATATCATCATAGGTTTCAATTTTACAATCATTTTTGTTTAAGGTTGATCCAACAATACAACCTAAATTTGATAAATACTGTAGCCCAGCTTTTAATTTTGTACAATCAGTCATTGCTACAACAGGACCTTTATAATGCACTGCATCCAGAAATCTTTTAAACCGAGCAACATTCTCATAGCAAAGATCAGGGTTGTTAATAACATAATCTGAAACATTCCGATATTGTCTATAAAAATAAAATTAATAGAATTATATTTAGATATTGTGCTAATTGGATAATCAGATCTTTACCAACAAAAATAACCTTTTAGGACTATTATTTACATAGTTCTAAAGAGTTACTTTATTAATAAATATTCCAATAAGTATGTATTACTAATTACCTCATTGTACGAATTGTTATACTAGCTAGATTTTGGCGGAATAGATCTAAAGCTTTCAAACTAATGTTCCAAAAATTATAAGGAAATTTAAAAATTCGATTGAATATTTGAGATTCTGTAAACCTTTATCATGCTCTTCACATTCTAAAACTTGTAACATGATATAGCAAAGTCCTTTAAAAATTGGTTTTTTCTCAAATACTCCTTGAAAAGCTTTATTAGCAAATTCTGTTCAAAATTCTTTTGATGATGAATTTTGATTACAAAGAATATTATTCAATTGTTTAATGTAATTGTTTTTTTGATATATTAATAATGGATTGTTGTGATAATAAAATTTTGGAATGTATTTAATGTTTTTTGGATCAGGTGCAATGGCTCTAACACGGTTCATAAAGCATAAATTATTATGGAAAAGTAAACATGGAGAGCAGATCTGCTTATAAGTTTTTCTTTTACATTCAACTGACTGAACACACATTTCTAATTAAATTCTATGTGAGAAATAAGCACTAAATATTATTGAACAAATTCATCACAGGTTTACCCTGCTGTATTATAATTATCTTACTGACACGATCAATAAACCATTCTGATTCACTTATCACTTGATAATTAAATTGAGTTCTTTCTTCTCCTTTAAGTTTCTTAATGCTAAATCCCGTTTCATTTGAAAACCTATTCGGAAATATTTCTTTTCCAATTATTTCTCGCCATTGTGTATCTTTATATGTGATGGATGTTTGGCTAATATAAGAAGTTATTTGTTCTGAACTAAGTCCAGGACATGGTTTAATTGACAATAGTGTCAAGGAAGGTGGTGAAGATGGTAAGGATGGTGAGAGCGGAGAGTCTTTACTTTTCTTAGGGTTAGGTAAAACAGAAAACAGGCCAGGTAAACCAAGCTGCCTTTTTTTGTTGTTCACCTTACATCTTGAATTTTTAGAGTGTTCATTAAGTCTTGAATCATCATAATCGTTATCAAGGCTAACTTTTTGCCCACATATACAAAATACTGTTCGCTTATCAACTATGGCTCCACAATACTTATTTTTAGCTAAATGATCTCGACTATGCTTCCACTTCATGTTTCTCTTAAAGCTACATCTTCTTATCTGCTCAGATAAAAAAAATTTATTGATTCTTTTTTTTGTTTAACTTTCGTGTGCTCTTTTTTTTATTAAACTTTTGTGTGCTTTTTTTTTTGTTAAACTTTCGCATGCTCTTTTTTTTATTAAATAAGAGAAATAAAATTTTATTATGTACTAAAAAAAAAAAAAAAAAAAAAAAAAACTTGAAGTGAAACTTTCGAGAAAAAATAAAAGACTCAAAGTGAAGTTTTCGAGAAAAAAAAAAAACTCGAAGTGAAGCTTTCGAGAAAAAAAAAAAATTGAAATAAAACCTTCGAGAAAGAAAAGATTAAACTGAAACTTTTGTGAAACTTTTGAGAAGAAAAAAAAAATCGATAAAAATTCTTGTCAAACATATATTTAAAAAACAGCTAATCAGAAATCAGATGTAAGCATCAATAATACTATGTACGTAAAAGAGGGGTAAATCGACAAAATTCAAGATATAATAGCGTAAAAATTTATACATTTTTGACAAACAGACTATCCTTTAAATTAATATCTAATTTGCCAAAACTCAAACTTGGACTTTGGGCCAAATTCGTTGCAATTTGCTAAACTAATAGTATGACCTATATGAGAGATGTCCGGGGTTCTGCTCAGAGTTTATCACTCACTGAAAAGAGAGTATAGGTACCCCACCCTTTTCTAAAAGAAGATTTAGAAGTTGTTGAGTCTTTACATGAATATAACTACTTTCTTTGGGTGCAAGTGGTCTCTCCCTAGGTGTTTTTCGCTCGGCCGGTCTTCTTCAAAATTTTTGACAAAAAGTGGGTGATTTGGCTTACCCTCTCCAAAAAATTGGCATTGTTTATTTCCCAAATTTGGATATACCCAGGAATGCAACTACATGTCTTGATGTACTCTATAGATACAGGTTCTCCACATGACTGAGATCAGGTCTTTGGCAAAAGAGGCATCTGGAGGTGGCTGGTAGTTGGATAAAAATTTGTTAGGTTTTATAGTCGAGATATACAAATGTTGCAGTTGTTATAAAATTTTATTTTTTTTTTTTTGGTATTAAGGTAACCTCTACGGCCTGGGAACTTTTTATTAAGTAGATATATAACATATTACAGTTACAACGAGAGTACATATAGCCACACATGCACCTTTTGAGTGCCTAATTTAAGTAGTCCGCCTGAAGGTTCTACACTATCTGCCCTACCTGTACCCCAACTAGGGGGGTACCCATTTAAACTCTCTAGTTACAACCACTAGCTACATTCTACCTAACCAAGGTGTAACTCACTATTCGATGGTAGCTTTTGCGACACCTATAGATTTCGCATGAATTCCAGGGTGGAGTAAAATAAGTCATTTATTAGTATACAGTTTTTGTATTTAACTTTTAAATACGT